AGAAAATATGGGAAAATATGGGAAGTGGGGGGGAAGACCAAAACCCAGAAAATATGGGAAAATATGGGGAATCTTTTGATTTGTATGTATTTATTTGTGTGTCCTGGGGCCCCTTCACCGTAGGAGGACGTGCCCGACCCAGGAGCAGGCGCGGCAGCCCGCAGCAGGGCGCGGCAGCCCGCGGGAGAGCGGCGGCCCCGGCGGGGCGCGGGAGCCCCGCGGGGGCAGCGGGCGCAGACGGGCCTCCGCCGCAGGCCGGGCAGGCCCACGACCCGCAGGCGGCGGCCGGAGCGCCGCGCAGGCACGGCGCAGCGGGGCGGAGGCGCGCCCAAAGATCGGCACGAACGAGATGGGTACACGTTGTTCATGTCCAATTCTTCGAGAGTTCTTTGACTTGTGTGGGGTCCAGGATCCTTTCTTTTCTAATTACCTAACATCGAAGACTGATAGGTTTCTAATGGTGTAAAAAGAGAGCAGCACATTACTCCACAGGGGGGTCTGGGCAGCCGTTGGGGAGCCGTTGGGGGCCGTTGGGGGGCCGTTGGGGTTTGCCGGGGGGGATCGTTTTTCGCATACAGTCACACACTTCGTGCTTTTCGATTTCCCAGAACTCCATTCCCGGGCCACATTCTGAATGCCCGGAGCCAACTGTACGCCACTTCGTGCTCTTCGACTTCCCAGAACTCCATTCCCGGGCCACATTTTGGATGCCCGGAGCCAACTGTAGGCCACTTCGTGCTCTTCGACTTCCCAGAACTCCATTCCCGGGCCACATTTTGATGCCCGGAGCCAACTGTAGGCCACTTCGTGTCTTCGAGTTCCCAGAACTCCATTCCCGGGCCACATTTTGGATGCCCGGAGCCAACTGTAGGCCACTTCGTGATCTTCGAGTTCCCAGAATTCCATTCCTGGGCATGATTTTGAATGCCCGGAGCCAACTGTAGGCCACTTCGTGTTCTTCGAGTTCCCAGAACTCCATTCCCGGGCCACATTTTGAATGCTGAGGCAGGCTGATGCTGAGGCTGAGGCAGGCTGAGGCTGAGGCAGGCTGAGGCTGAGGCCGAGGCTGAAGGCAGACTGAGGCTGAGGCTGAAGCAGGCTGAGGCTGAGGCTGAGGCAGGCTGAGGCTGAGGCTGAGGCAGGCTGATGCTGAGGCAGGCTGAGGCTGAGGCTGAGGCTGATGCAGGCTGAGGCTGAGGCAGGCTGAGGCTGAGGCTGAGGCCAAGGCTCAAGGCA